AGTTAGAAGTTTGGGGTGTTTTTTTGTTTGTTTGTTCTTCCAACAACAAGAGTTGCTGCAAAATGAGAATTGCTATTCCTAGTTTAAGTTATTATTTCGAGGTATGTACTCAAGTAGACACAGACTGAGTATTCTTTTTTCTGAAATTCTCAGGACCAGGAGTGTTTTGGATGTCAGATCTTTTTCAAATTTTAGAATACTTCCATATACAGTATATAATGAGATATCTTGGGGGTGGGACCTAAGTCTGAACATGAAATTAATTTACGTTTCATATGTAGCTTATACACATAGTCTGAAGGTAATTTTATATTTTCCATGGAGATGCTCAATAAATTGTGTGCTGTGAACCTACATTTTGACTGTAACCCATCACATAAGATCAGGTTTCAAATTTTCCATTAGTGGCATCATGTCAGCTGACACTAAAAATGTTTTGAATTTTGGAGCATTTTGGGTTTCAGATTTTCTGATTAGGGATGCTCAATTTTATTTTAAAATAACAAAACTTATCCTTCTATAAATATACTATTTCATTTTCATATTAGTATGCAACATGTATAAATTATATTATTAGACTTCTTTGAAAGAATTCAAACTTCAAGTTTGTTACCATGGAAATATTTTTAGCTCTTACATATGTAGTAATAGTGACTTAATTATAAGTACTTTCTCTAATCTTTAATCTTTTGCAACAAAAGCTACAGCTTTTGTTCATAGTACATCAGTAGTAAAGAAATTATTTCTGAATCTTAATTCCACTACTGTCTTCACATATGCTCCCAGAACTGTATGGGTGGTAACAAAAATGAATGAACATGGTACTTCTTATTCTTACTCCCCAATGTAACTTTATGGCTTACTTCATAAACTCACATTGGGTGTGAAAGAACATGTACTGCAGAGAAATGTTGAACTAGAGTATTTCCATAGAATCCTCCCATCAGGGAAGGAAAGTACCAATAGCAAATTTTCTGAGACTTATAGAAGGGTATTTTATTCTAAAAGAGAAAAAGAGATTAAATACTATCAGTATACACAATTACCTGATGATAATTTTAAAAAATAATAGCAATAAAAGTTATATAAATTAAATGCAATTCATGTGTAATGAAATGAACAGTGTCTAGAAATAAGCTTTTGGAATGATTTTTCCCAAGCCAGCAGAGCTTGTGTGCTGAAGTAAGAAAAAACTGAATGGATCAACAGCAATTCTGTTCATTAAGAGTTAGATTTGAAGTTATCACATATCTTTTTAAGATTTAAAATGTCTCACTATCAAAGGTTAAACATATACTTTTTGGCTATGTTTTTAAAGTCTTCATTCACAAGGAGATACATATGGAAGTATTTGGGAATGAAATGTCATTTTGCCTCTAATTTATTTTCAACTTATTTAGAAACAATAATACAACATACAAGAGAGAACATGTGTGCAAATGAGGCAAAATGTTAACAAAGAAAAAGATATATCCCCTTTATCACTTCTTTCATTTAGTGAAATGTTTTATTGTAACTATTTAAACCATCATTCATTTAAATGACTTTATTCAAATAATTTGAGTATGTCTTGAATTGTTCTTTATAGTTTTTGCCATCTTTTTCCAAGAATTACTGAACCATTTTAATTCAATAGTTTATTTTTGAAGAGCATACATTTAGTTTAAGGGTAGTAAAACCTCCTAAGCCATAGATCCTCCATCTGTTTCCATATTAAAATGAACACCAAGTGTCTCTAATATCCGAAGTGCCATTTCTTCATTTTACCTCTATGTTTTCTTTGGCACGTGACATTGAACCGTTTGAAACTTTTTTTCCTGACTGATATTTAAGTATTTAATAATAGTAATTTTAAGGAAAATTTGTGATTTTTCCAACATTTTCTCATAAAGCGTATTCTGAAAGTGTGTAATAATATCTATATGTATTCCCAGCACAACTCTTCCTCTTTTGTCTTGATCTAATTTGTTACTAACTTTTTAAAACTTTCTAGACTAATCATTTTGCTTACCTTCAAGCATTTTGCTTTATGCTACAAATCTTCTGAGACTTGAATAATTTTATCTTACTGTTTATATACTGCTACCTTGAAGGTATTTCAACCTTTTTCACTGGTAGCGATACCCTCCGTGACAGCTAGTGTCAGTTATATTAACTTGATTCTATTGTAATTTACATAGTGGTAAAACAAAATAATTTTACACTTAGAATTATAACTGTTTTAAAAATTACCACCTAGGATTCATTGTATGAATTTGAAAAGATGCACAACTGTTTTGATAAATATGATATGCAATTATATAACTTGGACATCTCTGTGTAGTTTTTAAATCCTGTTTAACATGGTATGCTGGCTCTAAAGTAGTCATTGACAGGAATGACGACAATGACTCAGACATTGATGATGTCCACCAACTCCAGCATATTTACTCTAGATAGTACCTCAGTACAGCCCTTTAGTCAAAATTTTAGACCCAAATTTGGTACTTGAAATTAACTAAATCAAAGAATGCTGTGCAATTCACACCTTTATTAAAAAACAATATGCGACAGTAGGGAGGATTAATTCTAGGTTCAGAAACAGCTGGGTGAGAACCCCAGTACTCACCCTTATTAACTGACATGGAATTTCTTCAACTGTATAATTTGGTAACTCAATTGTTGATTTTGTTTATTTATTTATGCATTCATTCATTCATTTAGTAAATATATGCTGAACTCCTTAGCAAGCTCAATTCTAGGCACTGTGGCTAAAAAGGGAAGTGATACAGACAAAGTCCCTTCTCTCAAGGGGTTTGCATTCAACTGGGGAGACAGAAAGCAAAGTAGATACATAATATAACATCAAATAGCAATAGGTCTTGTGAAAAAAAAATATCAAGGCATACTCTGGATCAAGTGACCAGGATGGGAAGGCAAAAGGCCTGTCTGAGGAGGCGATATGTCGTGAGAAAGAAAGGAAGCCATGAGTTGGCTGGCGAAAAATGTTCCAGACAGAGGGAAGAGCAAGTTCAAATGTCTCAGTTTATATTTCTGTGAAGGGTAAATAAAAGTTTATAAACTCCTGGTACATCCTTAAGTGCTTATTAGATGTTAGATATAATTTTAGGATAATAAATGAAGATTATTAATTCCACATGATATTATGTGTCTTCTTTGCTATAGTGTACATCTTCCCTTTCATCTAGATCATTTTTCTTCCATTGAATGCTATATTATTTATCCTGTTCTCAGAGCTGTTAGATTGCCCTCCTTTTAATTTGTAGTAAGTTTAACCCTGCTTGCAATACTCAAATGTTATTGCTGTCAGAGGTCCTGTTTTCTCAGTCTTTGCCCTTTTGCTCAACATCTGTATACTCTGAATAATGCCAAATTGATTTTCTTGCTAAGTGTTGGGCAACTGCTCTGTCTAAACAGTAAATTCACAACTTCTCCATGATGATGATGATGATGATGATGATGATGTACCTGCCCTGTGGGAACCTGTTGTTTTGTATGTGTGTGCAGAGAGAGGAGAGATTAAAAAAATGGTGTCAATATGTCATTTGGAAGATAGTACCTGCAGAAAACACAGAAAACCTAATCATAACCCACCCCATCCTCCTGATTTCCCACCATGGTTTTTTGTTTACACTTCTCCAATTCTCCCAGAAGTCAGAGCAAAGTGACTGTTTACCTCTGTCTCTGGCTGGGGAAAAAACGCTACGAGAACTCAACTCAGTTTTATTGATTTCTATACTGTTTGGCTGTAAAACATTAATTCTCAATTGTATCAGTTTGGGTCCAATCAGAGAAAAAACACAGTCATTTGAACAAGGAAAGATTATACTAATGAAGGGATTGGCTAGCATAAAAGAAAGATGTATTAGTTTGTCCAGTTAGTTTTTATCTGCCATAATAAAATACTGTAGACTGAGTTGCTTAAACAAAATATATTTATTTCTCATAGTTCTGGTGTCTGGAAAGTCCAAGATCAAGGTACTAGCCAATTTGGTCTCTGGCTTTCAGATGGCTACCTTCTTGCTGTGTGCTCACGTGATCTCTTTTTTGTAAGCACAAGTTGAGAGAGACAAAGAGTTAAGCTCTCTGGTGTCCCTTCTTATAAGCGCACTAATTCCATCAAGAGTCTCCTTCCCATGACCCTCCTCATCTAATCCTAATTACCTCCCAAAGAAAAGCGTCATCTCCACTTACTGCCATATTGAGGTTTAAGGCTTCCACATACAGATTTTCAGGGGAGGGCACAAAAGTTCAGTCTATAGCAAAAGAGAGCCCTAAAGAATAGAGAAATCGTTATCATTAGCGCTAGGGCTAAGATAGCACACCTAAGAAAAAGTCCCTAAGTTTTCATACCCAGAGCAGCGCTGCACTCTATTGGGAAGGTGCAACCATAGCTTACTGAATGGCAATAATCACTAAGTTGCCATACTAGCAGAACTTGTCAGAAATCTGTCCTCTTGAAGTTAACAGAGACCCTTCCTCTAAGGTACCTGGGAAACATCGCCAAGCAGCTGGTTGCCAAGCACTGTAGGAGCCAGGTGCTGAAGAAGCCTTGCACACCTCAAGAGCCTGCCAAATGTCCACACTGAAAATAGGAAACAAATCCCTTTCTTCCTGAAATGTCTCACCAGTGGCCTCTCCCCACAAAGCTTCAGTGCCAGCTAGCAAACAAAAAACATATCTCAAAGGCCCAGATCTATTTTCACCAAGCAGGCAGAAAGGTACATTTAGAACTAAGAAGCAATAAATCAATAACCAGCACACTGATATAAACTAATAATAAATAGCAGCAGAAGCAGACTAAGTGAAGAACATATTGTTAGCAGAGTCCACTACTTTGCAGGGCCATTCTCAGTTTGATTCATTGCTGTGTGCTCTGTGCCTAAAATAAAATCTGACCCAATATGGATGTTCAGTAAATATTTGTTGGATGAATGAATGATTTAATTGCTTATTTTTTCCCACTAATGTTTTTTCTCTTTCTCTCTTTCTCCCTATAGCTGATGGATGCACTGATTGGTCTATTGATATCAAGAAATATCAAGTTTTGGTGGGAGAGCCTGTTCGAATCAAATGTGCACTCTTTTATGGTTATATCAGAGCAAATTACTCCCTTGCCCAAAGTGCTGGACTCAGTTTGATGTGGTACAAAAGTTCTGGTCCTGGAGACTTTGAAGAGCCAATAGCCTTTGATGGAAGTAGAATGAGCAAAGAAGAAGACTCCATTTGGTTCCGGCCAACATTGCTACAGGACAGCGGTCTCTACGCCTGTGTTATCAGGTATCCTTTTAATTCTATTACTGCTGAATCAAATAAATCACATGCTGCTTTCTTGTACTTAAATCTTGCTGCTATCTCTTTTGCCTAAAGCCATTGTTTCAATATTTGCATGTGTTGCTGCTTTCTAAAATTTAGAATCAAAATCATAAAAAGGTGGGATTGGAATTTATATTAGGCATTATTTCTAGCTCATGGAGGAAAGAGATACCATCTGGGTACCTACTTATGTTACCAAGGATTACCAAAAACTATAAAATAAAATGTATTGAGGAAGTAAAATGGTGCAAATAAAATGTAAGCAAAGACTTGCAGAAAGGATGCATAGTTTCTTGCTAAACGGGTTGTAACATTTTGTTATTGCCCTTCACAGACAGATAGAGCATGGATACTTCTGGTTCACACACATTTGCAAAGATGATTTAGGTAATGTGTATATGTGCACAGGGAGAGGAAGAAAGCATTACCATGTTAGAGAATATGAAGACTGTGTTCCAGATTGCTTTGCTAACCAAAACTTCTGGGTCAATACAAAAATTTTCCCAAGTTTTTCAGTGCCAATCCTGAAGTTCATAACAAATTCTGTTTCGGTAACCCCAAGGATACTTATCATACATCTACACATCTTTGTCAGCTTCTGGAAGAGGCATATGCAGTTTGTTTAATGATAAAGCAGTGAGGCAGTATCTATGTAACACATTAACAGTTAAAAAATCTCAGTTTAAACATTTAGCCTTCCATGGATTGTGAATCACACTCTGCATGATCGTGTATGTCATTAGGCTATTGGAACATTAGCAAAGCTAGGTATAGTCATATAGAGGGAGTGTTGAAATCTATTTATTTGGCTTTCTGTATTTTGGCTTATTCAGAGAAATAAAGAAGAATCTAAAGTAGTTCACTCCCAAACTCAGAGGAAGCCTCAGAATCACCTAGTGTCTTTTTCAAATAAAAATTTAACTGCCATTTCTGAAATCCTGATCAGCAGCTAACATTTCTCTGTCATAAATATCATGTGTCCCTCTCACTGTCATCTGTAATAATTACCTGTAAACTGAGCTATGGCTACAGGTGTGCTAGGACATTGAAATAGGTCAGGTTGCATAAAAGTTGAACAGAAATGTATCCTTTTAACACTGACAACATGTATTATGTTAGAGTTAATTTTGGAAATTATAAATGAATATAAGTAAAGAGTTGTGTTTGGGAAAAATGCCTAGTAGGTTAAAAAAAAAAAAAACAAATGTGTCTGACTGGGTGTGGTGGCACATGCCTATAATCCCAGAACTTCGGGAGGCAGAGGCGGGAGGATCACTTGAGGTCAGGAGTTCAAGACCCGTCTGGCCAATATAGCAGAAACCCATCTCTACTAAAAATTCAAAAAAATTAGTTGGGTATGGTGGCGGGTGCCTGTGATCCCAGCTACTTGGGAGGCTGAGGCAGGAGAATTGCTTGAACCTAGGAGGCAGAGGTTGCAGTGAGCCAAGATCACACCACTGTACTCCAGCCTGGGCAACAGAGTGAGACTCCATCTCAAAAATAAACAAACAAACAAATCCATCATTCTTTTGGCAACTCTTCTTCTTTCTCTTAGGGTTTACTAATCCTTTTATGATTAAACATAACTCTTGACAGAAGTAAAGGTTTTATAGGGGTTCTGATCAATAACTGCCATACTAGTACAGTATAAAATACTGTTTGGACTAGCTATTATCATTTGACCAATAATAATTAGATTTTAATTTCATATCTGCTGTGTTTCCTTTAAAAATCATTGTTTCTTACTGTTCATGTATATGTTGGGGTGATTATTCAAGATAGGCAAATGTATGTCCTCATTTAGCTGACATTAGAATTGAGTTGGATGTCCATAGTTAACACTTCATTTCATCACTTATTATTGATGGGAAAATAATGATGTGTTCACATTAGTGATCTGAATCTTGAAAACACTGAGGTTGCAATTCTCTGATGTATTTAAATATGCACTGTGATCCTATACTCTGAGAAATTGCATTAAAATCCCTCTGAATTTCCAGTTGCAATACTGAGTGAAAGGTTGAAAAGTTTCCAAAAGCTGACACTTGCCATATGTTCATATGTCTACATGTTAATAAAAGGTGAAACTAAAAGACACATACTTTAAAGTTTATATGTATCAAGTGGCATTCTATAGAAAGGGATAAACTGCAGGAAGAGATATTTTTGTTACTGAAATTCAAATATACCAATTGATTTGAAGCTAGTGTTGTTACAGCTTCCTTTTCCAATTTGGAAAGGGATGCTCAAAAATCTTTACAAACAGCATTTGAAATAGCATGGCTTTATGTGAGGGGAGCTCAAGAGCTGTCAGCTGAGTCACTGGCATTTTGGCACATTGTTAGCTATCAGGCCACTAAACTGTCACTATTAGTTTTGAAATAACCCACTTGCAAAGAATTTCAGAGGTTTGAAATGTTAGCACCCATTCTAAGGTTCTAGTCTTTCTGATAAATACTGTATTAACTTGTCAATGAAATTGTTTATTAAGCTTTCCATATACAACAGGTTTTCATTTACACTTAAATATATGCAATTAAATGGCACAAATAATGGAAATTCCTAAGATTACTACCATTATAATGAACAAGGACTTTCTTATTGCCTTCTCTTAATGTCTATTTTGAAAAGAATAATACCACACAATTCTTTGCTCCATACTTCTTGGCTCTTTACCCAGTTTACTCATTCTTGAATTTATATTTTATTTTTTACATGTAAAACTGAATGAAGGACAGCTATGTAACAATTTCTTTTGTCTTTGTTTATGGTCATATATAACGACGTTTACTTTTAAAAAAGTAAAAATTTGGTGGCCAGGTGTGGTGGCTCACACCTGTAATCCCAGCACTTTGGGAGGCCAAGGCAGGTGAATAGCTTGAGGCCCGAAGTTTGAGACCAGCCTGCATAACATAGTGAGACCTCGTGTCTACAAAAATAAAACTTATAAAAAATTAGCCTGGTGTAGTGGAGTGCATCTATAGTCCTACCTACTCAGGAGGATAAGGTGGGACGATTTCTTGAGCCCAGGAGTTTGAAGCTGCAGTGAACTATGATCACGCCACTGCACTTCTGCCTGGGCAACAGAATAAGACCTTGTCTCTTAAAAGTGAAGTGAAATAAAAATAAAATAATAGTTCCATATTCTTGACCTCCAAGTTTTTAATTCCCCTTTTCATAGTTATTCTCTATTATACAAAGCTAGCTGGTACATGTGGAAGGATTCCAATGCCCCCCAATTGGTAGCATGCTAAGTTATTTGGCACCCAAGTTTTGATTAACATTTTATTTTTGAGACAATTGCACGTTCATATTCAGTTGCAAGACATAACATAGAGAGATACCATGAACCCTTTACCCAGATTTGCTCTATGGTAACATTTTGTAAAACTGTGGTATAATATCATAATCAGGATATTGACATTGATATGGTAAAGATACAGAACAATGCCGTCACCTCAGGGGCCCCTGCTATTGTTTTTTTATAGCTACATCCATCTCTACCTAACCCCAATCCCAAATCTGTGGGAACCACTAATCTATTCTTTATATTTATAATTTTGATAATGTATTAATGCAATATCAGTGAAATAATACAGTATATAACCTAATGGAATTGGATTTTTCACTCAACATAATTCCTTTAAAATCCATCTAAATTGTTGCACATATCCATAGTTCATTCCTTTTTATTGCTGTGTAGAATTCCACGGTATAGACTACTTCAATATTTATTCAGTTGTTGAAGGGCATCTTTATTGTTTCCAGCTTGGGGATATTAAAAAGGAAGCTTTTATGAACATTCTTATTCAATTTTTGGTGAGCATAAGTTTATTTTTCTGGGATAAATGAGCAAGAGTGAATATGGATTGAATGGTAGTTTTGGGCTTAGTTTTATAAGAAAGTACCAAACTATTTTTCCAAGTAGCTATACCATTTGATGTTCCCACCAGCATGGACTTCTCCACATCCCTGCAGCATTTGCTATCATTACTACTTTTAATTGTAGCCATTCTGGTAGGCACATTGTGATAACTCATTGTGATTTTACTTTGCATTTTCCTACTGGCTAATGATGACTAAAATTTTCATGTGTTGATTTGCCATCTCTCTTCTCGTCAGTAAAATGTCCATATCTTTGTACATTTTATAATTGAATATTTATGTCCTCATTGAATTTTGAGAATTCTTTGTATGTTCTAAATACTAATCCTTTTTGGAGATGTAGTTTGCCAGTATTTTCTGACTGTAGGTTATCTTTCATCCTTCTAACTGGGTCTTTTGTAAAACAGAAGTTTTAAATTATGATAAGGTTCAATTTGTGGAATTTTCCAGTTATGGACCATGCTTTTGGTGTGAAGTCTAAAAATTCTGCCAACTGCTAAGTCCTGAAGCTTATTCCTTGTTTTATTTTTTTGATTTAAAGATTGTCAAAAATTCAATTGCTTTACATTTTACATTTAAGTCTGTAATTAATTTTGAATTAATATATGTTTTTAAATGGTGATTTTATTTTTTATTTTTATGTATGTAGTTATTTAGTTTAAGTTCTGGGGTACATGTGTAGAATGTGCAGATTTGTTACATAGGTAAGCATATGCCATAGTGGTTTGCTGTACCTATCAACCCATCACCTAAGTATTAAGCCCAGCATGCATCAGCTATTTTTCCTGATGCTCTCCCTCCCCTAGAGCTCCCACCCAACCCTGACAGGCCCCAGTGTGTGTTGTTCCCCTCCTTGTGTCCATGTGTTCTCATCATTCAGTTCCCACTTAGAAGTGAGAACATGTGGCGTTTGGTTTTCTGTTCCTGCATTACTTTACTGATGATAATGGCTTCCAGCTCCATCCATGTCCCTGCAAAGGACATGAGCTCATTATTCTTTATGGCAGCATAGTATTCCCTGGTGTACATGTACCACATTTTCTTTATCCAGTGTATCATTGTCGGGCATTTGGGTTGAT